GCACTCGCAGCAGGCGTGCGGCTTCTCGCGCGCGGGCAGCGGGCGCAGGGCCGGCCCCGGGCCGCCGGGGTGCGTGCCGCGGTGGCGCCGCAGGTGCTCCTTGCGCCGGAAGGCCTTGCCGCACTCGGGGCAGGCGTGCGGCTTCTCGCCCGAGTGGCTCTGCCGGTGGCGCAGCAGGTGCGCAGGCTTCAGGGCGGCCTTGCCGCACTCGGGGCAGGAGGCGGTGCCCGGGGCCGCCGGCAAGGCGGGCGGGCCGGGCGCAGGTGGGGCCGCCGGGGCCGGCGGAGGGCTGCCGGGCTCCTGCTTGTAGGGGCGCGCGGCCTGGGGGTCCCCCGTCGCCAGCACCTCAGCCCCGGGGACCGCATCTCCTGCCGGGCAGAGGCACAGGGTGAGGGCAGGTGGCTCAGCAGACGGCGGGGGCGGGGAGGGCAGGGGCAGGCCGGGGATGAAGGGCCCCCCCCCCGCTGGAGCGGGTGGGGAATGCTTAATGCCTGGAAACCACGGGGCGGGAGAAGGGCTGACTGCAGGCTGCTTATTCACCCCGAGGAGCCGTGTACCCAGCACGGTGCTTGGTACACACCGCAAAGTCATCGCCAAATAAATGCACGGATGCATGGATATGAGGGAGGATGGGTGAATGGACGTGAAATTCGTGGTGTACAGAGGAGGGGCTTGATGGGTGAAGGCAGGTCAGCAGGTGGGTGGGCGGAGGAGGAGGAGATGGGCAGATGAATGAATCCGAAGTCCAGGGTGTAGATGGATGGGTGGGGGGATGGATGGGAGGGGAAGTAGGGAGACAGATGAATGAATGAGTAGGGAGGCAGACTGATGGGTGAACAGTGGGTGAGGAGGGAGTAGACGGCTAGGTTAGTGGGGGGTGGTGGGGGGACGGGAGGGGGTTGATTGAGCGAGTTAGTGGGTGAGTGGGCAGGCTGACTGCTTGCCCTGGGAAGGGGGTGGGCAGCAGGCAGCGTCCAAGTGGGTATCTGGGTGGACAGACAGATGGGTAGGTAAGCAGGTAAGTCAGGTGGACGAATGAACCTCATTTCCTTCCTCCCGGCTTTCAAACTGCTCTATGGCGTTCCAGGTAGATACGCAACCCGTTTCTATCCGACTTGCCTCACAAGCTTCCAGCTCATGACTCAACTTACAAAAAACAGTTCCAGCACAACCGAAGAGTCTGGTCCCCCGTCCCACCCTTCCATGCCAACCACCAGGTCCCAAGCCGTGCAGTCCCGGCCTCCCCCCAGCCTGTGGAGTGGGTGCAGAGACACCTACTATCGGGCAGAAGCCCCAATCCCTATCTGGCTCTGGCCCTGACTTGTTGTGTGGCTTCAGGCAAGCTGCTTGAGTTCTCCTGGCCTCGGGTTGCTGCTGCTAGATCTAGGCTTCCGGAGAGCCGAGTGTACCAGCTGGGCAGCCAAAGGTGACGTGGGCTTGGTGCACGGCAGTGTATTTAAAAATACAAAAAACGTTTAAAAATCAGGCAACATCCTAGAAATCTACACTTCTGTCTTCTCTTGAGGAAAAACCGTAGACGTACTGTGCCCACGTTCCCATGTGGCAACGCAGGCTGCAGGAGACTGGCAGGACAGTGCCTATCACTCGCCAACAGCTGGTGCGTGTCACCGGGCACCTGCTATCCTGACCCCCCACTCACTGTGCCCTCCATGGGGGCGTGTCTGACCCATCTCCAGCCCTGGCCTGGTGCCCAGCTCAGGGCCTGGCACACGACAGGGACACCACGAATGTTCACTGAACGAATGAATGGCAGGCAGGAGGAGAACACCTTCAGGGTAAGAGGGGAGCACAGTGTGAAAGGGGGGTAAGCTACTCACCTAAAGGCATCATCACACCATCTTCCTTTCCGACAGCCACCCCAGAGCCTTCCGTCACATCCTGAGGTGCTCTCATTGCTGGTCCCTGAAACGAGAGATACGACACTCAGAACTGAGAGACCACAGCGACAGCCTCTACTCTTCTCCCCTGCGGCCCCTGCTACATTCAGACAGTCATCAGGTCCTATCACAAGCTCCGGGGGAAGCCGGCCACCAGGCCTCCTGCTGGCCACCATGTGAGGCACCCATCTGGGGAGTGGACCCCCCAGCCTCAGCCACAACCTGAGACACTTGTGCCAGATGTGCCCCAAATTCCTGACCCGTGGAAACTGTGTGGACAACAAATGTTTGTTGTCGCAAGCTGCCAAGTTTGGGGTGACTTGTATGTAGCAACAGACAACTGATGCACCTTCTCTAAATCCTGCCTTAGCTTTTTACTGCCCTTTGGGTAAAGTGCAAACTCCTTGACAAAATACAAAACAGAAACACATAAGCTACCTTTAACTCAAGAAAAAAATAAAGTTTTTTCTTCCATCAGTTATGGATTTTTTTCTCAGCACAAGTGGTGGACCGCTTCTGAGCACGATGGTGCCAGCCAGGAACACCAAGGTTACTGAAAATGTTTCAGACTAATTTAGGTTCCTTTACGCTATTGTCAATGTTTCTCAAGCCCTTGCCCCCCAAGGAACAGATTAGAATCCTGGTGCTGATGCAGTTGACTACTGAGTTCCACACATCCAACCCTACCTCTCACATTTTACTTCTTTCAAGTGTAATGTTTAGGATGGAAGTCAGCAATCTAAAAAATTTTTTTTTTTTTTTTAAGTTTATTTTCAGAGAGAAACACAGAGAGTGAGAGAGCAAGCGGGGGAGGGGGAGAAAGAGAGAGGGAGAGAAAGAATTCCAAGCAGGCACCAGTGTCAACACGGAGCCTGACGTGGGGCTCAAACACACCAACCGTGAGATCACGACCTGAGCCAAAACCAAGAGCCGGCTGCTTCACTGACTGAGACACCCAGGTGCCCTAGTAATGCCTAAAATTCTCTCACCTAGCAAGAAGAGTCTTCAGGAAGCTTCCGAACCCTTTCTCAAACGTTCGTGGTTTGGAATCTGTGACGCCTACGTTGCCTGGTGGTGGCAGGATGAGTACTTTGCGTGGTCGCCTTTCTGCTCCGGCAGACTGAACTGGTTCCCGGCCACTGGTGCAGCTCAGGGTGTCATGGTGCTGCACACGCCACCCCGCTGCTTGCTGCTACTGTGGCCCACAAGGCCCACGCGCCCGGCCCCGCCTCTCGCCAGGGTCCTGCCTGGAGCCCCACGGTAGAACACTTATGGCGCCCCGAGTGTGCCAGGCTCTCTCAAACCTCTACTCTTCGTTCTGTTCTCTGCCTGGAACCCACTCTTCATACCCTTTCCCCTGTCTACCTTCTACATGTCCTTCAGGACCTGGCGGAGCCCACATCCCTGCCATTACACGCAGGCTTAGGACCCTGTGTGACTTGGGAACAGGCCCTACGCTGGTCCCCAGCACATTGCACTTCACAACAGCTTTACTCAGAACAGACGTACGATAAATGCACGCGTTTAAAGCATACGATCAAGTAAGTTTCAACACGTGTACACGCGTGAAGCCACCATCACAATCGGAATGGCGGACACATCTAGCAGCCCCTGAAAGTCTCCTTGTGCACGTCTGTGATCGCTCCGCCTCCTCCCCATTACGCCTCAGCACCTGCTGGTGCGTTTCTCACCGCTACCGGGTGGTTTTCACGTTCTAGAACTTGACACAGAACCACACGATAATTAGGTACTTTTCTGGGGGGGGGGGGGGGGGCGGTTCCTGAAATATAATTATTTTGAGATTGGGGATACTGGCCCACAGTTTTCTTATCTTGTAAGCTCTTTGGTTTTGCACGTCAAGGTAATGCTTGCCCCGTAGAAGGAGCTGGGAAAGTGTTAGGAACGCTTTGGATGCCGCATTAATGGAATCTTGCAACACACGGTCTCTTTCGACCGACTTCTTCCCTTTCCCACGTTGTGTGTGTGACGGTCGCCCCAGCCGCGTGGCTGCTTCCACTGCACGTGGCTGAGTATCGCTCCATTGTGAAGCTGGACCACATGTGTTTATCTGTTCAGTGGGTCCCCACAGGGGTCATTTCCGCTTTCTGGCTGTCACAGATGCCGCTGTCCTGCCATCGTTGACCTCACAGAAGGGACGAGTTCCATGCGGACAACTCCCAGGAGGGGCACTGGTGGCTCACAGGGCGGCCCCGTGTCTAACCATCACGGGAATCGCAGGCACCGCACAGTCCCACCACCACGGGAGAGGGCCCGGGCCCCTCGGCAGACGGCAAGCGAGTGAACAACGGACGTATCAAAGGGCAAAACCGTCTGCCTTCGCTCTGATGAAGGAGGATTTCCTAAAAGGGGATGTCCTGACATAAGGGGGAACCGAAGCGTGGGGTCAGGGTTTGGCCCGTGACCGACTAGGTCCCTAGGTGCCTCCAGCCACACACCCACTCGTGGGACCCCGAGCAAGTTCCTGCCCCTCCAGGGTCGGTGCACAGGAACCGACCTGGTGCACAGGTCGGTGCACAGGTGCTGAGGTGCACTCGGTCTCCCCGAGTCCGAGGGCACAATCTGGGGTACCACCTGCTCCCTGGCCCCCAGCGGGGCTCCTGCAACCCGCAGGTGCCCGCCCTCACTGGCCTCCACTGCGGCCAGGTCAGCACGCCGTGAGCAGAGCCCAGGACGCTGCACTGCCAGCAGTCTCTCCTGGCGGTTCTGGGGCCCGCACAGGCTGAACGCCCTTGCTTCCTCTGGAGGACCCTACGGATGTCCTGCGGCTCTGGTTTGGGCTCCCGGACAGCGGACGCTAGACCGTGCGGAGACCAAGCACCGTCCACAAGAAGATACCCAGGCAGACTGGCGGTGGGGATAAGGCTGACGCCCTGGGCCAGGCGTCGGGGGCTCAGTATCCGCTGTACAGCAGGGGTCAGAGCAGAATCTAGAGCGCGAGGGCCTGCGGGTTCTTTTCCTCCCGCTGCCCCCTAACTGGCCGTGTGGCCTCAGGCAGGTTGCTTGGCCTCTGTGGGACTCACGCCTTCATCTGTGACAGAGGATACTGAGGCCCCAGGGCCGCACGCAGAGACAGGGAGGCCGTGCTGACAATGGGATTTATGGGGACTTGTAGCCTCCAGAGAGGTGGAGATGAGGGGGAGCCATGAGGTGGCCAGCTGTGTCTATACGGCTGACCCCCAATAAAAACTGCGGATGGCAGTCTGGGGAGCCTCCCTGGTTGGCACGAGCAGGCGTCGTCCACACGGTGCCCCTGGGCGAGGAGCTTCACGGGCCCTGCCCGCGGGCCTCTCGCCTTTGCTAACTGGACTCCACGTCCTTCACTGAAACGCATCTGAAGTCCTGAGTCCTTCTCAGGAATTACGGAACCCAGGCTGGTCCTGGGGATCCCCAGACTTGCAGGTGGTGTCACAGCGAGGGCATCCTTGGGGGAACTCCTAAGGGCTGCACGCTGAGCCGCCTGGCAGTCAGGAGCCCGGGGTGCACGTCCACACTTCCCATCCTGGCGCTCGTTCGTGTACTTACTTGAGCTCTACCGGGCAAGGGGCGGGGGGTGAAGGCCACGGGCCCTGCAGGCCACAGCAAGAAGGCGGGACGTCCGTCTCGCACGGGTCTGGGGTCTGGCCCAAGTCCTGCTAAGCACTCAGATGCGTCGCCTCGGTGAGCCCCGCCAGCCACCCTGAGCCACGGCCACGACGCCCCCTCACCTTCCTGCCAGCCCCACAGGTCCATCCGCCGACCTTGGCTTTCACGTCTGACAGTGGACCTGTGCTCTCTTCTCTGAAGCCTCAGGACTCCCCTGAGTGCTGACCTCTGAGGCACAGACTGGCGGGTGTTTCCTGTTGTGCTGATCACAGCTGGGCCTCCCCGCTCCTGCCCGCCCACCAGCTTTCCTCCGGGCTTCCCGGGCTGGCGGACGCCCAGCCCCTCGGCTACGGTGTGCCTGGACCGGACTCGGGTGACTGACAGCAGGCAAGTCGGTCCAGCCCCATCCACCTCCCCATCACCTGCAGAACAGACCAGGCTCTCCCTCAACAGAGGTGACAGGAGACCTCACACCGCTGCCCGCGTCAAATCTTCTCTCCCAGGACAGACGAGGGAGGCCAGGAAGGCTACTCACCCACTTGCTGGCAAGCACTTTTTGGAGCACCTACTATCCACCAGGCACTACTGAAAGCAGGGAAGCACTGGTGAACGAGACAAAGGCCCTGTGCTCTAGAGTCTACGTTCTGGCCATTAGACAAACCATAAAGAAGTAACGAGTTCCACAAGGCTGGCTTAGCCACATAGGGATTTCTTTCAGCCCCCTGGAATCGGGGGGGGGGGGGGGGTAGTCCTTAGAAGCGTGGAGTCTCGTACGCGGTTGCGGGGACGCCAAGTGAGAAGCCACTCAGGAAGCATTTTGGCAACTTGTTCTAAAATTACACACACTTGGGGCACATGCACCCCGATGTTTACAGAGCACTATCAACAAAAGCCAAATTATAGAAGGAGCCCAAATGTCCATCGGCAGATGAACGGATAAAGAGGATGTGGTGTATGTACGCAATGGGATACTACTCAGAGATGAAAACGAATGAAATCTTGCCATTTGCAACTATGTGGATGGAACTAGAGCGTATTATGCTAAGTGAAATAAGTCACAGAAAGACATATGGTATCACTCACATGTGTAATTTAAGAAAGAAAAAAACAGAACATATGGGAAGGGAAGGAAAATAAAATAAAAACAGAAACAGACCATAAAAGACTCTGAAATATAGAGAACAAGCTCGGGGTTGCTAGAGGGGAGGTGGGTGGGGGATGAGCTAAATGAGTGACGGGCACACAGGGCCCCAGGGTGACGGGGCCGTGAGGGCAGCACTTGGGGCCCTGGGGTGACTGCACGGCTCTGTGTCCTGACTGTGGCTGTGGTTACGATTAGCCACCGCGTGTTAACAGCAGAAAGAACCATATGCCCCCTGGAAATGTTAGAAACACACAGCCAAGGGGCGCCTGGGTGGCTCAGTCGGTTAGGCCTCCGACTTCAGCTCAGGTCGTGATCTTGCGGTCCGTGGGTTCGAGTCCCGCGTCGGGCTCTGTGCTGACAGCTCAGAACCTGGAGCCTGTTTCGGATTCTGTGTCTCCCTTTCTCTCTGACCCTCCCCCATTCATGCTCTGTCTCTCTCTGTCTCAAGAATAAATAAACGTTAAAAAAAAAAAAAAAAAAAAGAAACACACAGCCAAAGCCACAGCTCCTCGCACTGTCACAACGGATTCAGCACCTGAGCATGAGACCCTCCAAGAGTGTTTCTTGAAGCTTCCACGTGCTCTAATGAGCGGCCAGGTCTGGAGACACAGCCGGACCCCCGGGCACACACAACTCGTCCTGGCAGGCTCCGCCGAGGATGGGCACGGACCCACAGACCAGAGCAGCCCTAGTCCTGGGGGCGTTTCCCAGATGCCAGCTCTCCCTGCACCTCCCACAGCGTCACCGCAATGGCCTAACACCCTAGCGATAACCGCTGTCCACAACTTTCACCTAAATGGTTGTGAGTCACACCAGAAGTGGGGCAAGGGCATCACAGGGACACTGTGGACAATTCAGCGCGATCACTTAAAATGGTGTCACCCCAGAGCCCTGAGCCCTGGACGGCTCTGAGCCCGAGTCCTGCTCTCCTACCAGAACAGGAGAGAACACACAGAAGGGGCGGTGAAGACACCTGGGCACACGGGCAGGCCTCCTCCAAGCGGAGGCCTCCTCCAAGTGGAGGGTCATCGGGAACCACGACTCCACGAGAATCGAGGACCCACTTCCTTGTGCACACACCTGCCTCTGGCCAGGCACAGCAGTGCCCCTGACGACGTCCACACCCTGATCCTAATCCCAGAGCTCGTGACTCTGTGACTTCATGTGTCAAAAGGGCTGGGACACTGACGATGTGACTGACTTAAGGATCCTGATGTGTGGGGACAATCCCAGATCATCCCGACGGGCCCCATGTCATCATGGGAGTGTTCTGTGTGAAAGAGGGATAGCTGAGGGTCAGGAGGGGATGTGACCTTGGAAGCAAAGGTCAAGTGAGGCACTCTGCAGACGGAGGAAGGGGAAGAAGGCCACGAGCCACAGCACGTGGGCGCCCCGGAAGCTGGGAGAGGCAGGAGACGGATGCCTTCCTGGGGCCTCCTTCTGGGGGCGGACCCCCCCCCGGACACCCCCGGGACCTCCTTCTGGGGCTTCTGGGGATGGATTCCACCCCACTCCCCCGCCTGCTTCTGGGGGAGGATCCCCCCTCCCCCTGGGCCTCCTTTTGGGGACAGATTCCCAACCCTGGGCCTCCTTCTGGGGACGGATGCCCCCCAGCCTCCTTATGGGGATGGATCCCCACCCCCCCACCCGCCGGAGCCTCCTTCTGGGGGCAGATCCCTTCCCCCCACCCACCCAGCCTCCTTCTGGGGACAGATCCCCCCCACCCTGGAGCCTCCTTCTGGGGATGGATTCCCCCCTGGAGCCTCCTTCTTGAAGGAGCACAGCCCACACCCTGGTTTCAGCCAGCAAGACCCGAGTCAGACCGCTGACCTCCAGAACCCTGAGTGGGTAAGTCTGCATCGTCTTTAAGGCACGGGGTCTGCAGGAACTTGTTACGGAGGCAGCAAGAAGAAACACCCAAGCAACCCTGGGACACAATGACCCAGAGAAGCCGCCTGAGGGGAGGGAACAGAGGGGTGAGGCTCGTCCCAGGGAAGGGTGGAGAGGGTATCAGAGAGGCAGGAAGACACAAAGGACCACAACTGCGTCCCTGGCACCCGACAGTGCCCCACAGACGCTCGCAACGACATCCTGCCATCTTTCCAACTCCTCATTCCCCTTGTCCACCGGCCTCTGACCCGCCAGCCTCTGTGCCGGCCTGGGCTGGGCTCCGGCCGCTCCCTCATCTTGGCTGCTCTCCTCCTGGTCTCTGCACGGCGGGTCGCTGGCACCACGCGGCCACATGTGGCTGCTGAGCACCCGGAAAGGTGCCAAGTGCCACGTGCCCAGAGGGTCACAACCTGGCTATGCTAAGCTCAACCAAGGATTAAACCAACTGGTTTCTCTTCAGCCCTCCCGAAGAGCTCCTAGAAGGCTGTCTTCAGCCCTCCCGATGTGCTCCTAGAAGGCTCTCTTTGGCCCTCCCGATGTGCTCCTAGAAGGCTCTCTTTGGCCCTCCCGATGTGCTGCTAGAAGGCTCTCTTTGGCCCTCCCAACGTGCTCCTAGAAGGCTCTCTTCAGCTCTCCCAACCTGCTCCTAGAAGGCTCTCTTTGGCCCTCCTGATGTGCTACTAAAAGGCTCAGGATCCCAGAACTGGCCTGAGTCCTACTTCTAACTGGACAGCGCTGCTCTGAACCAGGGACTGGCAGGCTTTTCCTGCGGTGGCCGGAGTAGAGGATCTTGGCTGTGCTGGCCCCCCGGCCTGTGTCCCCACTGCCTCACCTTGCCCTTGTGGTGAAGGCGGCCACCGGCAATGCACAGGACAGGCAGGGCTGTGCATCCAGAGAGGTCCAGGATGGGTGGGGGCAGGGCTGGCCCACTGGCCAGTTGGACGACCCCCGCATTTACTAAAGAGTGCAGCCTCCCCCAAAGGGATGGCTGACCTTTGCCCTCAACCACCACGGGGAGGTGACCTCCAAGCCCCTGGGGCATCCTACCTGCCTGGGGGCCTGGGGCCACACCAGCTGGGTCCAACAATACGAGGTACAACGGTGACTTTCAGACGCTGCACCTGCTCCCTGCAGGGGGGCTGGAGAGCGAGGTGGGTGGTGCCTGTAGCCCCAGTAAGCACTCGGGGCACCACCACGGCTCAGGGAGCCACCCCCCACTCCAGCCAGCCAGACTGCACACACGTGGTCATATAATGTTGCCGGGAGGAGTCAGCTGCCCTCATGCCATGTGAGGGGGAGGTCGGAGGCTCCTTGTGGGTGGGGCTCCTCCAGACCCCACCCCTGTATCTCTCCTCACCTGGACCCACCCCTGCATCCTCCCACTGCCCGGACCCCGCCCTTGCGCCTCCTGCCTCTGCTGAAGCTGCATCCTCGTCCTCCTGCCAACCTGAGCAGCATCACCAGCACGGTAAACAAGACGGCTTTCACGGAGTCCTCCTCCTGACTCGCTCCACATAGGTCTCTGGGAGACCCCAAAGCTGCACGAGGGTCCGCCGGCAGGGTGGTCTCAGGGACCACCTGCACTGCTCTCCACGCCGGACTCTCTCCGCCCCACGACCGGCCGCCCGGGGCTTGCCTGGTGTGCTTGCTGACGCATGAAGCGTCACTCCTACCCGCTGAGACCAGCCTCCTTCTGTAGGTCTGCAGGGGCGAGGCAGGAGGGAGGCCAGGTTGTAGGTCTGCAGGGGCGAGGCGGGAGGGAGGCCAGTCTCTGAGCGAGCCGGCGCGCGGAGGTGGCGGCCAAGGGGCACGCGTGCGAGCAGCCGCGAGCAGCCCCCCCCCCCCCTCCGCGGCTCACCCAGAGCTCCTCCAGCAGGGCCACGGCGTCCTCCCCGCTCTGGGGCCGGCGGCTGCACACCCAGGCCTGGATGTCCGCGGGCAGGGCGCTCAGGAACTGCTCCAGCACCAGCAGCTCCAGCATCTGCTCCTTGGTGTGCACCTCGGGCCGCAGCCAGTCCCGGCACAGCGCTCGCAGCAGGCCCAGCGCCTCGCGGGGGCCTGGCGCGTCTCCCAGGTGGAAGTGGCGGAAGCGGTGCCACGGTGAGTCCAGGGCCAGGCCCTCGGCAGCCTGGCCTTCCTGCTTCACGGGCTGGGGACACGGGCCCTCCATGGGGTCGCGGGCCCCGCAGGGACAGCGGGCCTGTGGGGAGGGAAGTGAGCGCGGTGAGAGCTGAGCCCGCGATGCTACAAACCGCCGCCTCCTCCCACCGTCGCCGTGAGGGGGGCACCCCCAGGAGCCCAGTGACCTGCAGTGAGGGGCGGCATCTCTCTGTGCCTCAGTCTCCCCTATCTTGCTCGGCAGAGGGCCTGCGGGGGAAGGTGCCTGGGGGCTGTGGCGCCCAGTGTCCTGCACACAACAGGTGACCAAGGAATGGACATTTGGATCCCGGTCCTGGGACACAGTAGGCTCAGACCCTGGCTCTGCCCTCCCTGCGGGGTGACCGTGGGCACTGCAGTCTCTTCCCCCCAGTTCAAGTGAGCAGAGCGGGGCATCATCGTGAGCACCACCATCGTCATAACCGCTCGCCCGCATGACGCACAAACCCCACCATCCCCAGCGTCCCCAACGGCAGCTGCTTCGGGACGCCTACTGCAAAGCCACCCCCAAATCGTCACGCTGAAGCTCTAACCCCAGCACAACATCCGGATGTGGGATGTGGGGAGGTGACGAGGAGGCCACCAATGCCGGCTGAAGCTGGTGGAAGGTGAGAGCTTCGTTAGAGGATGGGTCAGTCGTGGGGGGGTCTAATGTGTGCGGTGACTGTGCCTCCTGCCAGAAGCCGTGAGAGCCGCGATCCCCAGAGTTCTCGTCACAAGAAACAAGTCAGCCAACGAGAGGTGACGGACGTCAGCAGAACCGACTGTGGCGAGCGCATCGCAACGTCTACACACGTCATCGCATCACCACCTTGCGCGTCAATCACACCTCAATACAACTGGGGAAAGACAGGAAGTCACGAGGATGAGGTCCACATCCAACAGGATCGGTGGCCTTGGCGGAAGAGAAATCCCCACCACCTGCCCTGTGAGAACAAAACCAGGCTGCGGTCCGCAGTCAGGACAAGGGTCCTCCCCAGACACCCAATCTGCCGGTCAAGGCACTTGACCTTGGACTCTGGCCCCAGAACCGAGACAGACAGACGTCTGCTGTTAAAGCCCCCAGCCAGTGATGGAGCGGAGGACTACACGGATGGGCCCCCAAGCACGTCCACGAGTTGGGAAACGTGGCAGACTGCGGGAGTTCACCCATGTCCATCGTCCCCTTCTCCTCTGTGTGATCCCCCACCCCCGAGGAAGCCAGGTGCCCCTACTTCCGCTTTCCCCTTCCTGAGGGAGGGAACCCAGACGTGACCCCGGGAAACAGCTGGAAACGTCTGGAGATTTTTCACTGTTGGACGGGGGAGGGGAACAGTGCCTCCGGCGTCCAGCAGGCAGAGGCGAGGGAGGCTGCTAGGTGTCCTAGAGCACACACGAGAGCCCCATGGCACAGAATGGTCCAGTGCCAAGGCCGAGAGACCCCGGCTTGGGAGAGAGGTCCTCGCTGGGTCCGGGGACCCCTGGGTCTTGGCAGGTCAGAAGGATTTCATCACAAGAGATACTGCCTGCTTTACTCCTGTTCTCTGGGTGTGCCATGGGGTCTTCAGAGGCTGCATGGACACGGGCTGTGAGCGGCTGAGCTGAGGTAGTCCCCTGGATAGCCTGAGTGCAAAGCCCTGACACTTAACCACTACACCACCGACCACAGGCATCATCTCATTGCTGGGTCGGCTGTCACAGCCCCCGCAGCATCTCCCTGCTCCTGAGAGTGTCGCTCTAGTTGCAAATCACCACAACACTCAGGAAGGGGTTTTTTCCTTAACAGAAATCACGTCGTGACACCTCCCCGCTTCTGACTGCTTGCTCGCCTACTTCTCGGATTTCTTCCTTCTATCCCTGGCTCTCTATACTCAGCCACACTGCCTCCCCGATTATCTTCTTGGACCTAACGCAAGTCCTATCCCAGGGCCTTTGTACCTGCCGTTTTCTCCTTCCTAACCCTTGCTCAGCCGGCTCCTTCTCATATTTGAGGCCTCCATGTGATTCTCCCCCCCCCCCCCCATTGGAGAGTCTCCTCAAATCATCCGATTTGCACAGCATCCACACACCACTCCCTGCAGTTACCTTTCCCTTTAGCAATTCCCTTTCAGCGTTTAACAAGATGGGCTGTCGTGTCTGTATGCTGTTTTCCCTCACAAGAATTCAAGCTTCATCGAGAGCAAGAGACCCCAGGAGAGCCCAGCATGCTGGCTGGCACTCAAAGGAGATGTACAGGACGATCTTTCCTCTGAAAGGAGTATTATGGCCCCCGTTTCACAAGTGGAGAGAGTGAAGTTACTCAGCTAGTAAGGGGCAGAGCTTAGGCTCTGCAGGACCACCTCCTGCCTACCCGTCCCTCCATCTAAGCACTGACTGGGCCTGGGAGAGGCAGGGTAGGGTTTCCAGAACACCTGGGCCAGAGCTGAGTCTCGAAGGATGCACAGAAGCCTTCTGTACTGTGACAAACACTCTCCCTCCCCCCGACCCCCGAAGGGAGTGGAATCTGACCTGAGGGAGCCAGGCCCCAGCACCAAGTGGCAGGGCCCTGTAGTCATGGGTCATGGGTCATGGGTAGCCACGTTCCCACAGCTGTCCACACTGAGTTTCTCACAGCAGGGCCAGTGGGACCCTTCTCTGGGTCCCGGGGTCACCACCCTGAGAAAGCACATACTAAGTGCTAAGCAAGTTCATGCCACCCTGTAAATCAATCCTTACCACCCACTGAGGGTCCAGTGCCTCCTGCTACTGCTACAAAAGCATCTGTGACACTGTTGTCTGTGTCCAAGGAGTATCGTCCTGCCCGACCAGACACCCTGGAGGCCTTGGGAGACAGCCACTGAGTGGCCTCTGTCTCACACTGCCCTCACCCCACCGTCCCAACAGCCCTGTGAGCTGGGTACCGTGGTGAGCACGAGAAATGAACACTTAGAGGCAGGATTCAAACCTGGAACCGTTCTGACTCCAGAGTCCCAGCACCTCTGCACAGCACGTTTGGCTAGCTGAATGCTGAAAAGATGGGCTCTGGACCTTGGCTGCGTGCCCCACTGTGTGACCTTGGACACGTGGGCTTCACTTCTGCACCTGGGACACAGGACTCGTGTAACAGCTTCTTCCCCACAGGGGTTGCTGGGAACCTGAACTAGAAGCGGCCCAGCTCCTAGTACACTTGAGGGTTTCCAGACCTCAGCACCAGTCATATCCGGGGCGAGATAATTCCACGTTGTGGCAGCCGCCCCACGCAACGTAACGTGTTTATCGACATCCCTGGCCTCTTCCCCCAGAGGCCAGTGGCTATCTCCCCAACTGCGACAACCAGAAATGTTTCCAGATATTGCCACATGTCCCTAGGAGGCAAACTCGACCCCAGTGGAGAGCCACGGGTCCACTGGACAAATATTTACTCAGAGCACAAGGGCCCTGCAGCAAATCCCAGTTCGGCCACCTACCAGCCATCTGTCCTTGGACGAGATACAACAGCACCTTTTACTCGGACTCTCCACAGCCCGGGCTGTACAATGGGGAGAAACATCAAACCAACCCCAGACCGCAGGAGGAATTCAAGATACAAGGACAACAAAGACGCTGAGAATAGCACTAGGCGCTATGCAAGTCCTCAACTGGAGTCAGAGCTGAAATTCCTGCTACTTTGTGGAGTGCTAGGGAGCACCGCTATTAACCAAACACATTTAAATCCAACTCTAAACGGGAACAGGAGACGCAAGAGGGCGACTGGAGGGGGGCGAGAAGGGGCAGTTTCAGGTGGCAACAGCAGCAAACGCAGCCTCGAGGCATCTTGCACCCACTAACCAACTTCCTCCCCTGAGCACGGCCACAGAGGTGGGCGCTCCAGTCCACAGGGAGCGCAGCGAGAGGACCGACCCACCTTGTCCCGGGGACTCGCAGAACTCCTGGGCGGGCGCGCGCGCGCGCTCCAGGTCGAGGCAAAATGAACCACCTGCACCCCTCCAGAGGGGCGGGCCCCCGAGGCCCCGGCCCCACCCCTGGGGGGGACCGTCCCCCTTCCCGGCCCCTCCCCCCTCCTTCGGCGGCTCACTTGCCTCTGCGTTCCCCACCTCCAGGGGCCACAGCCCCCTCCCACTTCCCGGCCCTCCCCCAGCCCCTCCCCCCCGTGCCCTCTCCCATCCCCCTCGCCCACCTCCCGCTTTACTCGGTCCCCGTCTTCTCCCCTCCCCCCCCGCTCCCCATCCCTCCCTCCTCCGGCCTCCAGCCCCCCCTCTCCCCAAAGCGCGTCCAACCACCCCTCCCAGCCCCCCTTCCCCCCTCGCTCACCTCACTCTCCCAGACGAGGCCCCCCAAGCCCCCTCACCTCTTCGCACATGCGCACAAAGCTCACGGGGACTCCATGCCCCGGCAGGCTTTGCGCCAACTCCTCCGTCCCCCCTCCCCCAACTCTCCGAGACCGGGTAGTCCGTTCCACGCCACACCACCGCCTTACAGGCGTCACCCAGAACTACACTTCCCAGGAAGCATCGCGGCAAGGGACGCGTCCCGTTGGCCCCTCGCCGTGGCGTCCCTCGCACGCCTGTCTCCGAATGGCTCTAACGGCACCAGAACTACACTTCCCAAGGTGCATTGAGCACCGCCAGCGGCCTATCAGCCCTCGCAAACAAGGCCTCTCAGCGCGCCGGGCTTTGGACTACATTTCCCAGAATGTATATAGGGCCTCCCATTGGCTCGCGCGCGAGCCCGTGCTTGCGAAGACGTGCCGACGGGGGAGGCGGTGGGAGGGAAAGGGAGGAGCGTTGGCTGCGCTGTCCTGAGTGGGGGGAGGTTTTGTGCTGGGAGCTCGGGAGTGAAATCCTCCCGAGATCTGGGCGATAAGAGAGGAGGGGCCCCGCCAGAGTTCTGCGCCTGTCTGGCCTGCGGGTTGTCTCCTTGACAATGGGTCGCGTTTCCTCCCCTATAGGACCCGGCGGCGCTGACCAGGTCGGAGGTAGACGTGCTCGGCCCGGGGGCGCCCTGGGCCCTCTGGTTCGGCTCCTCTGGCGCAAGCCTCAGTGCTTCAGACTTCAGTGTCCTCTCCTGCGTGAGTCGGGAGAGGAGGCTTCCTGCCACACGTCCATGGCGTGCCCCCATCGGATAGGGCAACTGCCTCAGTTTCCCCATCTCGGAACCGGAAGAAAAAGTGGTTCTTGGAGCGGGAGGAAATCTTAAGAGATGGGTCGAAGCTTCGTATCCAGACGGATCCCGGCCTGGGGACGCTCACACGAGCCTCGGGGGCCCGGGGGCCAGAGCCAGACGCCATCCCCTACCTCGAACAGTAACTTTCCCCCCGGGTTTCACAAGTGGTCAGTGGCTGGATCAGAACTTGCTGCCCAAGACCGGTGAAAACCATCGCCCTCTTTGTGGCCCACCCTCCCCCGGCCCAGCCCTCTGCCCTCTCTTCACTCTTGCTTCTTGTGTTCCAGCCACACGGGCCTGCTTCTGCCCCTAGGAACTCGCTGATCCCAGTCTCATCTGATTGCCCAGTTGACGTCCCCCATCCGGCAGGGTGGGGGAGGGGCGGCAGAAGTTTTTGCACCCCCGCCTCGCAAGGACACACATCTTCCCTCCGTCTTACAGACTCACCCTCTTACAGAATGAATCCTTTGTCCACCCAAATGTCCAGGCCAGACATGGAAGGGTCGCCTTTGGCCCTGCCTTCAAGGTGGTCACAGTTGTCCATTTCTCTCCTTCCACAGCTGTCACCTGGCCTCCTCCCACCGTTGCACCCCACCCAGTCCCTTCACACGGCAGCCAGAGGGATCATTTTTGTGTGTAAGAAAACACATAAAACTTGCCATTTTAACCACGTTCAAGTGCACATTTCGGTGGCATTGAGTACATTCACGCTGTTGTGCAACTATCATTACCATCCATCTCCAGGACTCTTTTCCTCTTGCAAAACTGAAAGTGTGTCCAGTAAACAACTCCCCATTCTCCCTATCCACCCCCCCCCCCCGCCCCGCACCAGCCCCTGGTGCCCCACAGGAGTGGAATCATACAGCATTTGTGTCCTCGTGACTGACTTATTTCATGTAACATAACGTCCTCAGGGTTCATCCATGATGTGGCCTCTGCCAGAATATCCTTCCTTTTTAAGACTGGTTAATACTTCATTATATCACATTTTGTTTTCCCACTTATCACAGGGCTCTTAAATCTTAAACAGGAACAGGTCAGGACTGTTGGGCTTTTAAACAGGACCTTTGCTTAAAAGTCTCCGTTGCAAACTCTTGATTCTGGCCTGCCAGGTCCCATATAATCAGACCCCTTCAGATCCAGAATTGCCCTAACTTAGATGGTGCCTTGGTGCAAATCAGAAAAGAGCTCCCTTGAAGGACAGTGGGCCTGAGCCAGGGCATGGGTCCCACAAGTATGTCAAGAGGAGGATTCGGCCACCTCTTCCCACCTGGCCAGGTACTTGTAGGTAGGATACAAGGTTCAGTCCGGCCCTCAGCCCAACACCACTTTCCTTCATTCACGACCACTGTCGCTGCCACATTGGCCTAACCCTCCTCTAACGGAAGGGTTCTCAAAGTCGGGTCTCAGACCAGCTACAGAGCATCACCTGGGGGCTTGTTAGAAATGCAAATTCTTGAGGGGCGCCTGGGTGGCGCAGTCGGTTAAGCGTCAGGCTTCGGCTGAGGTCATGATCTCACAGTTTGTGGGTTTGGGCCCTGTGTTGGGCTCTGTGCTGACAGTGTCTGGTGCTGAGCCACCCAAGTGCCCCAACCCCTTCATTTAAATACGTGGCTGTGCATTTTCATTCTGCCCTGGGCCTCACAAATTAAGCAGCCATCCACGTAACACCACCTCAGTGACCTGTGCAATGTCCACACAGTGCTGTTTCTCTAGCACTGGAGGGCACCATAAATACTGGTGAGCATTGGAAGGGACGACTCCCTGGATGTCCTTCTTCCACGTCTTCACCTGGTAACATCATACATCCTTCAGTGAGTTATCTGTTCAGATGCTGCCTCCTCCAGGAAGCCTTCCCAGACTACCCCCACCCCCAATAAATCTGGACAAAGCACCTCATCTGAACTTCCACAGGGCCCCTTTGCTCTCCATCTCAGCCTTGGACTTTTTTTTTTTTTTTTGTAACCGTCCTGCCTCTCCTCCTCCAGTGAGCAAATCAATTTGGGGCCTGCCTGTGAACCAGTAAATAAGGATTGAGGGAAAGTGTTTCTTCCCTTACTTCCCACACCTGAGGGCAAAAATTCCTTTGGCAGGAAATTTGGCCCATAATCCTCCCAAAGCTTCTAGGCTCCTTTGTAGCACCGCTATAATTATTACTCAAAATAATAATTAACGTTTTCTCTTTTGTATGGGGCTTTAAAGCAGGGAGATCCTCCGGGGTGGGGAGGGGATTTGGTTCATCTCAGGGTGCCCAGCCCCTGCACCCGGAGGCTCAGGTGTTTATTGGATAAATGGGTGAAGGATGATTGGTCTGTGCCGCACAACAAGGGCTCCTGGGGGCTGGATCGCGAGTGTGAGTCATGGTCGCCGGGCCTCAGGAAACACCCGGGAATGAATAGTTAAATTATGAATGAATTGCTTAATGATGGGCACACACTGCCTATTATATTATTCCACCCTACGCGCTCTCGGTGAGGCTGCACAGCAGATCAAAGCATCAGCCCATTTTACAGTTGGGATGAGTGAGGCTTCCCCAAGAGACACAGCAAGAGAGCCAAATCCCACAACCAGCAGTGGGTGTGGGGAGCCTGCTCTTCTGTTCCAGGTCCTTCGTGCGGCCCAGATGTTCCACTGGCCAGGAGAGCCTAGAAACACAGACGGTGAGCGGGGCCGACAGCACGAGGGAGTCAGGCAGACCTTACCCTGCAAACACAGAGGATTCCCCGGCAAGTTCTCCCCGGCTGTACGTCCACACATCTGCCCAGCTGCTCGGAGGTGGAATCTTCTGAAAGCGTTTGGTGCCAAGGAGGGATCAGGGAAGTGGGGACCAGGTCTGTTGGATGGCATCAAGACGTAGGGGCAACATGCCGAGTGGGTTCCCCCGTGTTTGTCCTGGAGGCTGTAAGGTTAGTGCAGGGAAGGGTTGGTTCCCGGTGATGTTGGTCATTTGCGATTTCTGCTTAAGCTGCCGTAATAAAGCACCGCAGACCTGGTGGCTTAAACAGCACAGATTAATTTTCTCGAAGTTCTGGAGGCTGGAAGTCCAAGATCAGGCTGTCAGCAGGGCTGGTATCTCACACGCACTGGCGTGGGGGGTAACGAATTTCAACAAGTAGGCAAATTCTCGGGTACAGAATCCAGATATAATGAAGATCGACTATTTTTTTAAAATAATTTTTAGTTTCATTTTTCGAGACAGAATTGCAACCAGGTTTTAAAATGGCATTCTTGGGGCACCTGGGTGGCTCAGTCCATTGAGTGTCTGACTTCAGCTCAGGTCGTATCTCACAGTTTATGAGTTCAAGCCCCACATCAGGCTCTGTGCTGACAGCTCAGAGCCTGGAGCCTGCTTTGCATTCTGTGTCTCCCTCTCTCTCTGCCCCTCCTCCACTCATGCTCTGCCCCTCCCTCTCTCCGCCAACAATAAATAAACATTTCATGCTCCGTCGGCTGGGCATCCAACTTCAGCCCAGGTCATGATCTCACAGTTCATGAGTTCGAGCCCTGCGTCAGGCTCTGTGCTGACAGCTCAGAACCTGGAGCCTGCTTCAGATTCTGTGTCTCCCTCTCTCTCTGTGCCCCCGCCCCCTCGCCCCCGCCGCCCTGCTTGTGCTCTCTCTCTCTCTCTCTCTCTCTCTCTCTCTCTCAAACATGAATAAACATTAGGGGCATCTGGGTGGCTCAGTCAGTTAAACGTCTGACTTTGGCTCAGGTCATGATCTCGGGGTTTACGAGTTTAAGTCCCACGTGGGACTCCGTGCTGATGGCTCAGAGCCTGGAGCCTGCTTCGGATTCCGTGTCTCCCTCTCTCTCTGCCCCTTCCCTGCTCGTTCTCTCTCTCCCTCTCTTTCTCTCTCTCTCTCTCAAAAATAAATAAAGCATTAAAAATTTAAAAAAAGTAAGCATTTAAAAAATGAAATAAAATAACATTCTTGTAGAAATATGAGATTCAGGTGGCTGTGTGAACTGGCCTTTCCCCAGTGACACTGAGTCTGGGATGCTGAGGCCCTCACGTGCCGTTCAGGGCCTTCCACAGAGGCCTGCAGAAATTAAAAGGCTCCCTCCACCACTCTGGGCAGACTCGGGAAGGAGGGCTGATGATTACGCCCGCCTGGGCAGTCTGAGTCCAGGACAGCGCCCTTCATCTTTACAGAGATGGGATGCCACCCCTCCTCTCGCTCTAGAAAGATGTGAGATCAGATGTGGAATCAGCAACTCCGAACATCCAACGTCCTGGGATAATACCAGGAAAAACTGCCTGAGATAAACACACCATTATGTTAAACGTGAATCCTGCAGCAGCGAGGACTGTCTCTC